TGTGTGTAAATATGCATGAATACGGTCATAAGAATGTATATATGCAGGCTTATGTGTGTACAGGTATGTTTGTGTGGCTCAAAACACATGCACTGGGTTAGCTTTTTCCATGCTCTTGCAAGATAAGAATGGCCTTTTCCTGCATTGTGCCTTTTCTCAGTACCCAAGGGAAGGCATGGCAGGTGTGTGAATTGGAGGCTCACCCACAGGGAGCCAGTGTGAAGCCTCCTGTCTCCCGAGCTCTGTGCGCAGCCAGGTCATTCTATTCCATTCTAAGGAAAAAGGGACCACGGTGTGTCACACTCAAAGCTGACTTGATCCCACATCCCTGGGAATGCAGGGAAAATTAACAGATACCCTGTAGGAGTCTCTGGCCGAATCTGCAAGTACTCAGTCTCTTTGAAGTGGCAGGTTTGTTAAGTCCCTCAGCCACCTAGGGAGAAGTGGTAATTTAAAATCTGTCCTAATGTCATCTGGCTTCTTAATCATCCTAGAAAATATTTCACTATAGAAGAACCCTTGTGATTTCTGCGACAATTTCCTAAAAACGTAAGACATTTAGTTTTCCATCTCAGAGGCATTCACACAGACGGAGTTCGAAATCCTTTAGCATTTCCGAATGAAATTCAGGAAATTATCTCGATAAACTGACTCCACGTTTTTCAGATTGCATAAGCAAAACTCGGGGCACTGGGAAGTGTTGGAGGAGCAAGGAGCTCAACCCCACATCACAGAGGAGCAAAGAAAGGAAAGCGAGGTGAAAATAAGTGAGGAGTGGATTATAAATAGAACCCTAAAATCGATGGTGGAACTATTTGGAGAAAGTGGAGCAGCTTGCCGCTCTTTTCTGGCTCAAAGCTGCCCGCCGCAGCTTGAAGGGTCCCAGGAGCCCTACAATTATTTTTACTCTTAGCAGAAGCGAGCCATGTTCAGTCTTTCGAAGGAAAATAAACTTGCCAGTGGTTTAAACAGCTTAATTCAGCCCTGGTAGAGAAAGATAAGAGTGGGCCTGGCTCCCCAGCCGCATCCCCTGATGGGCTCTCTGGGCCTCCTGACCTACTTGCTGATGGGAAGGCAACTTTGTGGGGTCCCTGCAGGGCTCCTCTCCTTCCTTGCTGCTCACTCCCCGCTGCTGATTCCCCATGCTGTGGCCACAGGGGAGGGCCTGCTGGTGCAGCGAGGAGGGAAAGTGGCCTGCATGCCACAATCCACTGAGGGCCCCCCCCCCAGTGCCTGTCCTGAGATTCCAACCCAGCTGCCCCCTTGTCCTTGCCCCCTGGTCTCATGCTGGTTATTTATGTATCAGAAAGGGAAACCCAACAGACTTGCTGATGCACAAAGTCCTCGGGCCAGTGCAAAAACTATTGAGACTCTTCCGAAACTGCCCACAGGCCAGTGGGTGGACAGATCCCTGGGAATGCGGAGGGAGTTCACGCACACTGGTCTGTGAGCCATGCCAGACAGAGAGTGATGAGGTTCCCTACCATTGCCTTTCCTCCGGGACTGTTGGGCAGTGAGACAGGAGATTCCCTCAGGAAGAGATGGTATCTGCAGCTTCTGCTAGTTTGGTTTTAAGCCTGCTTCGTGTAAAAGCTGCACATATTTTATACATGCACATAGAGATAAGATTTTCATTTTCTGTTCCCACCATAACAAACCAACACAAACTTGATGGTTTAAGTGAACACAAAAAGCTCCCTATTATGCAGATCCCCTAGAAATCTGGCTCAAAGCTGGCCATGGTGGTGGAGGCTTGTAACCTAGGAATCACGAAGCTGAGGCAGGAGGATCTTTACAAATTAGAGGCCAGCCTGGGCCATAAAACAAGTCCAAAGCCAACCTGAACTACATAGCAAAAGACTACGTCAAAAAATAATCAAACTAACAAAAGAAATCTGGCTGGAGTGGAACTCCCTTGCCATCTGGGTAGAGGTGGGGCAGGGAAGGTCTTCAGGCCTTTACTCCTGACCTTATTTCATATCCAAATCATCCTCCAGTATATCTGGTGATCAGCTCCCCTGAGGTCAGTGCAGTGAGGAGCAACTGGCTTGATAGCATGAACTTGGGTTGAATGACAGAAGGAACTCTGCGAATACTGACAGGATAACCCAGAACCCTAAGGGTGAGCCTTGTACAGGGCATGCCTCCTCCTTCTCGCACCAGAACACATGTGGTGCTGTTAACTCCCAGACACATCCATCTGCTTTGCAGACTCATCCACACCTTACCTTCAACCAAGGGGGAAGGGTAACAGAGTGTTCAGGTTGATTCCCCTAGAGGAGGAATTTGTGCAAGAGTTATGCTTTTTTGTTTTTGTTTTTTTCATTTTTATGTTTTTATTTCTAATTGAGACATAAAAACATAAAAGTTGTACATCTCCACTGCTACCATGTAAGGGTCAATACAGGTGTACACCCTGTGGTGGTTAAAAAGCATCAGCACACATAACGCCTCTAACCTTAACCCCTGGTACTGCCAAGTTTGAAGTTCCTCACTGTACCCTTGGGTGTAGGGTATGTGTCTGTTGTTGGTAGCAGTGAGTCCTTCCAGGAAGGTTCAGGAAGCTGGGCTGATACACACCTCCCACTTTCCTACCAAACACCTTCCAAATACCGAGGTCAGGGTGAACAAACTATTGCCCATGGTTAAGTCTGGCCCAAGACGAATGATGGGCATTGCCAAGTGAGTGGGTAAATACAGTGAGGCTCTGCTACACAGACTATTTCAGGTCCTGCAGAAGCCACTAGAGCACAAGCCAAACCATCAGGGTTGCCACTGAACACCAGTGACAAAGTTTGACCTGTTGCAACAGAGATGATTTGACCCACAAATGCTATACTTTGTGGTGCTAGGAACCCAGCAAGGAAATACATCCCCAGCTACTGGAGCTTTCACAATTTACTGCCTGGCCCTTTACAGCTTTAGTTCATTGAATCAACCAAAGCAGATGTTTGTGGGCAGGCCCTCACAAATCCACAGGGTATGAATAGAGAATCTGCTCACAAGCAATATGAATGTTGCCATGCAAACCAAACATGATTCCAGCTAGATAAAGTAATTCAGAAGATGCATCTTAAAGCAATCACCCACTACTGATTTTGACAATACAAGGTTCACAATGTAGAGGAAGCCAGATTTTTGAAGGTAGAATTTATTTTTCCTTCGCACATTCTTTCTATTAGCCAGAGGAATGCGTGGGCTACAGAATTTTAACTTGATCTCACCAGGGAATACAAAAGGGTCCCTCGGTGTACCAGGGGCACTGTGCCTCTCTGTCACCAGTTTGTGCTGCACACATCAAGAAAACAGGCAAATCTGAGTAGTGGGCTGCCTCCCCTTGCGGAGGATTGACTTCAGACAGTGCCATGAACACCACTGCACTTGGCGACACGCAAACTCTGGCTTTATCTTCTGGTGGGTCCTGCATGTTTTAAAACCTGACCCTTAAATCTGAGTACTGGATACCAGAAGGCTGGACCACACCTGTCCTTTGAGGCTGCTTTTCCTCCAGGTGTCAGAATAAGCAGGGCCTGGATCAACAGAACCACCCCGTGCCCACAAACCCTGTGCATAACACTGGGATTCTCAGCTTGAACAGGGCCCCACTGTGCTTCCAAGTGGCCACAAAGGGTAGCAGCTTACCAGGCTTCTACTGACAGCAGTTGGCCAGGCCCCTGCCCAGCCCTACCTATACTCAGGAGTGTCCTGTTGAACATGGATCTGGCATCCAAAGTGCAGCATAATCACACAGTGCAGACTCTTGTGAGGACCAGTCACGTGGAAATGTAATGTGGACATGCTGACACCTGTGGCTTCCCAACCCCTTCAAATGCCAAAGTAGAGGTGTCAGGCCTCCAGATCCACGTATTTCACAGCCCCAGTGTCAGATAACCACAGATGCAGCATAGACAAACACTGGCTCACTCAACAGCTACACATTTCTTCTTGTCATTCTCTGAAGCAAAGAGAACACCAACTGCTTACATAGCACTGGCATCAAATCAGGTATCATAAGTAACCTGGAGAATCTGTAAAATCCACAGGCGGGCACACATTCCACAGGCACACACTCTGCTGCTCACACAGGGTCTTGGGCATCTGCACCTTTTGTGGCCATGAAGGTTTCTGCACTCATCCCCCTGTGGACAATTAGGGACAGTGATATTCTTGCATCCACTTACAGGTTGGAAACTGAGTTTCACAAAACTCAGCCCAGGTCTGGGGTCTCCTAGCACAAAGAGAAGCCCCAGAGGATCAGGCCAGTGATGCTCTAGTAGGATGGATGCCTGGTTCTTTCAGGTGCTTTACCATCTGAAAAACTTCTCTTCCCTAGCTATGACTCCACATTGGCCAGGGTGGGAATGAGCAACTCGGCTGTCTGAGAATTAACCTCGAGTTTCCAGAGTGGACTGGCTACTCTGAACAGCTTAATAGATGACTGTACCTTCTTTTAAAACAATTTTATTGCATTGCAAATCTTTGTGGCAGTTACCATCTCTCTCACGAATGGGGTCTTCTTTGCCATAGTAGGGAAAGCCCTGGTTGAGGATTCTGCAAAGGCTGGAAACGCGTGTGCCACTAAGCATGAGAAACAGCTTGTTTGAAACCTACTTCAAATTAATAGAAATGGCAGGTGTTCAAATAGAGACAGGCAGAGGCTTTCACTTGTCTGCTTCTTTTTCGAAGTAATTCATTGTGACTGAGGTCCTGAGGAGAAGAAATAAGAGATCAGAAAGTATCTTCTCCTATCCATTGTTATTAAAGTAGAACCCAACATCAGTTATTTTTGAAACTCTTCATTTCTTCAAGCATCAACACAGCACTTATATTTGGGCACGGATAAAATTATCCAAATTACATTAAGATTTAAAGGCAACTAACACATGTCCTCTGCTTTAAGCGTCTCGATATGAAAGCTGGCCCCTTCCAGTTCCAGCTAACCCTAACCTGTGATCCTCTGCCAGTTTACAAGTGAGACTTTCTCCTCTTTGTCTCCGCAGGCTGACAGGCATAAACCTTCCCTCCCCTGTCATCAGCAGCAAGAACTGGCTGCGCCTCCACTTCACCTCGGACAGCAACCATCGGCGCAAGGGCTTCAGTGCTCAGTTCCAAGGTAAGGATGGGGCTGTGACAGGCAGGAGGGTGAGCGCGGAGCCCCGGCTCCTTCCCAGCCCTGAGGTAGTTGGGTCATGCAAAAGGGTGAACACGAGAAACAAACACATACTATACAAGCTCATTCTTTCACAAGCAGCTGTTTGGGCAATCATGAATGAGTTAGTGAGAACCACGACAGTATGCAGCGCATAGCCTTGTTTGCAGGAAATTTGCTCACTTTTAGTCAACAGGTACAGATTGGGATTACTGCATTTCTTCGCACCACCCAGTAATCACCCATAAGGGTCTGGACAGTGTCTATTCACATACTAAGAGTGATGTATTGCCAAAATGTATGGAAATGCTCAGGTGCATCAGTGTATCCCTTTTAGTCCTAAAATGTCCCCTGAGTATAAAAGCCCACCTGAGTGAGTCATTTACAAGTTGTCAGCCTTAACACAAAGACCCCAGGCTGTGGCAGCTGAGCACCTGGAACATCTAGACTTCTATACGCAGTGTGATTCTGAAACTTCTCTTTGCAGCAATGTCCAGTGCTCACAGCAGGGTAGATTGTGTTGCTTCCTATACTTTTCTAATAATCGAGTACCAGTAATAAAGCACAAGGATGCATTTATTAAATGGTCAACTGAAAAAACCACTCCACTTCTACTCTGTAAATAAGAGGATTATGACTGCCTTCAAAAATAATATTACTACGCATAAGTCCTCAAACTTCTTCCACACCACGGCCTCTAGAGTACAGCCCCAAGCTGGACAGCATTCTGCACAGGTCACCCACAGGGCCTGGCTGCCCCCACTGCCCATAACCTGACTGGAAGACAGTCCGAAGTAGTGGGGCAGGAAGACATTTTGCGATTTGTAAATAATTCCCAGGCAAGATGGCACATAGGTCAAATCATCCTCATGCCTCATGGAGGTTTTAGCAATTCCCCAACACATTGTTCTTCACGTCTCCTACCTTTCATGTTTTAAAGTCCATGCCATGTTCACCGACTCCACAAAGGCAGTGGCTGAGGACAGAGCTCCATAGCCCACCCGCGGGGGACTGAGCTCACTGAGAAGTCCCCTGGCCTAGAACAGGGCACAACCTGTGTCCTCAAAGTGTATTCCCAACCCCATCATGAGCACTGGCAACCGGGCTTTCTTTATTTGTTTCTGGTGTCTCCAGAAAATCCCTAGCTTTCCCCCTTTTGACCGCAAATACACTGTCCTGAAGATTTATAGAAGTAAAAGGAGGCATTTTCACTTAACCTGAGACCTAGACAAGGCTGGGCATTTCCTTTCCTCAGCTTGCTGTTTCTGCCTTTTGCTTTTGGGACCACGTCCTGGCATGATGACCACCATATGGTATAGGCAGGCATGCGGGACAGGGACCTCATGGAGCTTCTCATGGGGCAGGAATGCAGGAATGCCTCCTGCAGGCTGGTGGGAAATTCCCTCCTGGTTCTCTTTATTAATTCCCTGGATTAAGGGATCTACCACCACCCCTAAGTGATCATAGCTCAGGACTCGGGATGCCTGCCCACTGATCACCATTAGGTTCATTTGTGGACTTGTCTCTGAAGTGTTGATTGAGCTCTGAAAATCTTTGTTAATTAATCAGCATAGAAAGGAAAATTTCTAAGTGTTGACCCCAGACCTCACCAGGGCCTTTGGCATTCGAGTCTATGATTGAACGAGATGCTGAATTTGGAAAATGAGTTCACAGGTGCTATGAACTGGAGCATAAAGGAAGAAATACTTTGGTTGCAGGAAAAGTACAAGAGCTTAGATGAATCAGTTATCAATATATACTATAGATATTATCCATTTATACAATTTGTAGATAAATAGCATTAAAGGATAAAATATATACAATTATGCACTTATAATTTAGGCATAGCTAAATATCTGTAATTAAAGTCTATATGCTATATAGGGAGTACCTAAATATAATGAAAATACATGGATTTCAATTGTATATAATATAAATTATAAATAAAGAGGAGCACAAAATTGTGCTCTTAAGTTCATCTTTACTTGTGTCTAGAGCAAAACAGAGATAAAGCATTGCAGTTAGCTGGGCTTGGGTTCAGTGTAAGACCTCTACGGGCCTCACTGACACCAAGCTCTCACTTGGCCAGTGGACTCTTTCATCAGGGGTGTCCTGCCACAGACGATGTCCAGGCAGCCCCTCTGCAGCAGGTGGGCTTCAGCCCGGAGGTCACCTTCCAAGAGAGAAATGGGCTCACAGGTGCACAAGCCCTGCTAAAGAAGGGCGCAGGAGGCTTCACAGGAGCACTGTACACCAGGACGCTGCATCTCCTGCCCTGGCTGTGAGGACAGTGTCATTGCCTGGGAGTCTGTGCTTCAAGGGTGGAGGCCAGGGCAGCTGCTGATCTCGGGAAAACCCAAAAACCTGGAGAGATAAGAGCAGCAGAAGGGCAACAGCTCAGGAAGCTACAGGCCCCTCTCAGAGGCTCCCCAGACACCTCAAGGCCACTAGTGCATCTGTGCTAAGCACATGGGAGGCCCTTTCCTGAAATTTGCTCTCTTCTCTGTCTAGACAGAACACCAGAAGTTCAATCTACACTGTGTTACAAACACCAGAGAGAAGGCGAGAGGCCTCCTGGGCTTCATCAATGGAGGATGAAGAGGAGAGTGAGGTGGTGGGTGCTGTAGAAAGCCAGTGAGACAGCGTAGACCACAGCAAACCCTGTGCAGTGCTCATGGAATGTTACTGTCCTGGCTTTGCAGAAAGTGTTGGTCAAAGAGTCTGAGTCTTGCTTTTGTTTTTGTTTTTAGTAGATAAAAGCAGCATGGAAAAGCATTGTCTTTATATCATAATGATCGTCATTACACACAACTACTTACATTGACATTCACGTCCCACCTTTTTTTTTCCTGTGAGCCACAGCCTCTGTTTCTGCACTATCCTTTCTTCAACTCTGTCACTGAGCCCTCCTGAAAGCAGGGGCAGGGGAGACTTACAGGTAATGACCCGTGACTGCCCCTCCTAAGATTAATTCACTTTTAAAATAGTGTTGTGAACAAAAAAGTTAAAGCATAAAAAATTCACTGTCTTCATTTGCAATATTCACTCCATAGACTGGGCTCTCCTTGAATGGCAGATTTGTGTGAGGCACATAATTTCTTTAAATCAAGCAATTTCTTTATAAGTTGCCTCCATCAGTAATTATAATTAAGTAAGTGCTTTGTTAGCATAATCCATCATCTAGATATCTTTGATGTGTAAAAGATGAATTTGTAAAAAATGTATTAATCTTGAACCATGAAGTCATCTTTACTACTAACTGGCCCAGCAAATGTTGAGTTCCAGTGTTGCATGGGTCCACCTGGCTATTTATGAAAATAGTTTTCAAAGGATGAAATTCCCATTAATTTCTGACATGGATAAATCATTCTGCAAGAAAGTGTTTGTAATAAAATTCCAATTTAAATGGGAAACACCCCATCTCATAAATCAAAGGAGAATCTGAAGCCAGCTTTAAAGCTTGTGTTGACACAAATAATTAGCTTGCTTTTTAGGTGATAGCTCTGTATGAGCATCGATTTTCCTTTTTATATTAAATGAGAACCTTTATACTAAATAGAGACTTTCATGTTATTCAAAGTGCATTTGGGTGATTGAAAGTCTCACGCTTCCAGACATATTGTGATGGGGACGAGGCCACGCTGTCCACATTCTCCAAAGCCCACACTTTCCTAGCCAAGGCCCAGCAGCCAAAGCTTGACCTGAGGGGTGAGTGCCAAGATGTGCATCCGTCCTTGCCTTTACAGCAGGAGCTCTGCAAACTAACAAGAACCGCTATCTAGAGCCAAAAGCTGGGCACCCGACATTAGGGGAACACATGAGGGAAAGCAAGCCACAAACTCCTCCCAAGACCCTGGACCTCAGGCCTGCAGAATGTGGAGCAACTCCCAGGGGGCGCCCTGACCACCTATAAAGATCAGGGACATCACCTATGCTGCTCTGGGCAGGATTGAGAAGCCATAGGCCCCATGGGAATAGTGACTCTTTCTCAGTCAAAATAATTTAGCAAAATGTAATCTATTCTTTAGGCAGTTCCTAAACCTCTACTAGACATAGCGTTTTTAATAAATGTAAAGTTGCTCAAATCAGACACATGTAATCCCTTTCCCCAATTACCTAAATTCTCTCAGAATAAGAGATCCAAGTTGATGCCTTATTAGCTTTTCCTTGCTGTGACAAATTACCTGACAATTCCAGTTTTAAAGAAGATGATGCTACTTTTGCAATGGCTCAGAGTCAGTAGATGAACAGTGGGCTCCATGTCTCTTCTGCTGTGATCAGACAGAAAGTGTGAAGGAGGAGGGCTCCTCACCTCCTGGCAGCCAGGAAGCAGAGAGAGTGCAGAGCCAGAGAGCAGGGCAAGGCCAGAGAAGACTGTCACCAATGCTACACTGAGTGACCTGCTTCATCAGGTAAAGCTACATCTCCAGACTCTTCACAGCCCCCCCCCCAAGGAGCTATTGCAGGAGACACCATCAACAGATCATTTCACCAGTGAAGGCCCACACGTCTCACTCTTGATCTTAGCTTTTTCACTAAATGCTTCTCCCTAGCCAACAACCTTGTCACCCTGCTCTGGGACCCAGTAGAGATTTTTCATGGGTGAGGACCACAGATTAAAAAATGCATACGTGCCAAACATCAGCAAAGCAGCACACAACGTGGAACAGATCAGAGTGCAGGAGGGCAAGAGAGCTGCCTGCATTTTGACTGTACAATTCCTATACAGGTTGTTATCGCGTGTTTACATTCTTACATGACGCTGTAACCAGCATGTGAATGTTTACCTCTGCTGAGTCATGGTTACACAACTGCATCCCACTGTGCACTTGCCCTGGACAAGTAGGATCACATAATCAGGTGTCCTCAGATGCCCCTGAGTGGTTCCCCACCATCCTTTATGGTCTGTTCACCTTACTGTCTTACTGTATAAAATAAGATTGGTATCTACTTCACAGAGTCAC